GTGGTTAAAGATGCTAGACTTCCACATGGCTGACTACAGTTCAAGTCTCGGATCTGGCAGCTTGCTTTCTCTCTTTCTCTGGTCAAATTAAAATAACAATAGCAATAAAAATAAAATAAAGTTAAATAAGAATAATTCCTTTGGAAAAAAAAAAAGGAAGAAAAGTACGGGCATACGGGCAAGCAGATGGTGTGATGGTTAAGGTATTGGATCCCACATGGCCGACTCTGAGGTTCGAGTCCCAGACCTGACACCTCGAAAATCACACTGGGTATGTGTGTGTGTGTGCGTGTGCCTGAGAAGACAATGGGGGAGGGCTGGAGTTGTGGCCATACCCCCGGGGGGAGGTGACTTCTCACTTTCCCTCTCTCTTTCCGGCAGGCGCACACATGCTAAAAGGAAATGTTTTAAAAGAAACACCAAGTGGTAGTTTGAGATTCGCTCCAGGAAGCAACGTGTGGGGCACCAGCGCTGTCCTCCGATGGGGGCCCGATACATGACTGCCCGAGGTCTACGAGGCTCCCTCTCAAGGCCGGGGTTTATTCCTTCCATTTCAGAAGGACAGAAACATGGAGGTCATAAACAAAAGCGTCTAGTTTGAGGGGGAGCCACACATAGGAATACACGCACGCCCGTGACCAAAGTGCAGATCTATCGACACGTGCATATAGAGCCAGCAGTTGGCGTAATGGCCATGTCGCTGGACTCCCACGTAGCTGACCGCCATTCGAGTCCCAGACCCAGTGGCTTAAACTCACGCCGGGCGCGTGTGCGTGCGTGCCCAAGATCCCAAGAAGAGAACGGAGGAGAAGGGATTGCGGTGTGGCCATCCCCTGGTGGGTGATTTCTCGCTTTCTGTCTCTCTGTCTCTCTCTGTCTTTCTGGCGAGCTCACGTGCCTTATAGCAAAAACCTCTCCAAAAAAAATTTTTTTTAAATAAAAAATAAAAAAATAAAGTAACTCATCTTAGTCTTGCTGTGTGTGTGTGTGTGTGTGTGTACACCCTCATCCTGTTGGCACTAGCTCTCTGGAGAACCCTGACTAGACGGGGTTTTCCTCTCTTTCCTTTCCCTTCTTTAACATAACACACAAGTGAGAACGGAAGCACCGGCCCTACCTGGTCTTTCTCTTCTTCATCAACCGACTCATCCGACTTTGCTCGCTCCAGCTCCTCCTCGGGTTTCCTCTTCGCAGGACTGTCACAAAGGGGGGACACTGGGGGTTAGTTCAGAGCCCTCCAGTGGCCCCCTATGACTTCCAGGCCTCCTTCCCCACCGGGCAGCTT